AAAAAAAAAAAAAAAAAAAAAAAAAAGGTCTAAAGGTGAGCATGTAAAGGTTGTTATCTTACTTGCCTTAGTTCTATACAAACCAGTTTCCACAGTATATTAAAGAATAGGCCCGTTAACATTCAAACAAACACTAATGTAATGAAATAAGCAAATTCCTCATCGCCCTTGTGGCTCGGACATCGTCAACTTATTGGAGATTGGATCTGGTTTATTAGAGGATGAGGATGATGTGCTAGAAATATGTTTTCTCATTGCAAAAGCTAGCTGTTTAGGAACTGGAAGAAATGTTGTTTCGCTACTAAGCATCAAAACTACATTTGACATGGTAGGGCGATCAATAGGATCTTTTTCCGCACACAACAACCCAATATTTATGCACCCGACAACTTCAGATTTTTCGCAAAATTTAAGTATCATTGGGTCCAGTAAATCTAGTGCCCTTTTTTCACTCCACAGTCTCCATGCCTGCAGGAATAGCTTCAAAATATTTTAGACGGTGATTTGGCTAAAAAGTTTAACATAAATGAGGGAATTTAGCCACTTGCATAACCCAAAAGATTTAGTGCTTCTGTGGATTGATAGAATCCCGTATTTCTTTTGCCACTGATTATCTCGAGCACAATAATTCCAAAACTATATACATCTGACTTTATCGAGAATTGCCCATATGACACATACTCTAGAGACATATAACCACTGAATCAAGATAACAAATATTAGTATTTATATATATGACATCATAAGATGTATATATCTATAACAATATCTAAATAGGAATTGTCTTTTTTGATATAATTCACTTGGTACAAAGGAGCTAAAGTCTGTATCACCACTTTGGACTGGAAAGAAGAGACAGAGACAAGTGACCTTGATAATCGTCTTTAACCAGTTAGACGGAAGTTCACTTGGAAGTGTGATTTATACACTTATTTGGCCGACAAAAAGTGGGTGTATATGAGTTTGATACTTAATTTTTTGTTTAACGATTATTTTACGTGAAAATCCGGTATTGAATGAGAATGGACGAAATGAACAAGAATTGATAAAAAGAATCTTCGATGGACGATATCTAGAATCTAGGGACCAATATGTTAAGAACGGATGCTAAAGATCTTACTTTGCAATATAGATGACGTGAACCGAACAAGAAATCAGAATTAAGGACTAAATTGCAACAACGTAAAAAGTTATTGACCCTTGTGAGTTCAAGGATTGAAATTTATTTAGTGGTTAAAACTTACTAACATGTGATTGCTACAGTTACAACTGTGCGATCGAACAATTAGTCGCGAGCCAAAAATCTAGATTTTCTAATCCTATTCAATTATTAATTCTTTATCAATTGGGGCTTGATTTCTGACCTAATTTGAGGTCTATAAGTATGATTCCATCATTCCAAAAGCAGGGAAGACATTGAAGACGCATTCTTGAAGCAACGTTCATAATTTCATCTAAAGATTTTTGAGATTTGGGACTCTAAATTAGGATTTAAAGGCATATATTCATCAATTAGTTGGGATATCTACAATTATAAAGCTAGAGGTTGAAGATTTATTTTTGAGGTTGTGTGGTAAAGATCGACAATAACTTTAATTCTTTTCTTAGTTCGTTGCATTGAATTGGGAAATTTTTTAATCATTTTATTATTTTTTTGCAATTATGAGCGAATAAATAACTTGTTGTTAGGATGAAAATTTTAATTTAGGTTTAATTAAATATATTTTGTACAACTTTGATTATGTGATAATTGATTATTGTGTGTTTAATGACATTCAATTGCTTAATCATCAATTGCTTGATTTAGAGACAATATTGACACGTGGATGAGATATGTTTGTCTAGCTCGTGTAATAAGTTATATAGTTTCTAATTTAGAAGACACTTTTATAGCTTATTGAATTCATGCAAATTAATTTGTATATATATGTGCGTGAATTTACATAGGAATAAAGTGATTTGTTGTGATGATGAACAATGTAGCTTAGGTTTAATATTTATTTAATTCAAAAGATTTCATGCAACTTTGATTATGTGGCAATTGATTATTGTGCATTTAATGATATTCAATTGCTTGATTTAGTGACAATATTAAGACATGGACGGGATATATTTGTCTAACTTGTACAATCAGTGATTTATGTTTTGATAAGAGATCGGGAGATAGTTTTGTAGCTTATGCAATTTTGATTGAATTCTTGCAAATTAGCTTCTATATATGTGTATTAATTTACATAGGAATATGGTGCATTTGAGTGTGTAGGATCTTGGTTAATTCGATTGTTAACACATATGAAAAGGGGTTAAATGATGTTGGATTAAATGAATGTTAAATAACCTAAGTAATATCAAAATTCCTAACTACTTAATCTGATAAATCTTCAAAAGTTTTCAAGCATTGATAAATTTAGATAAAAATTGGTAAACCTTTTTTTAGAAAATAAATTTTAAATTATTAATTGGTTATCACATTAGTTTAAATTGAAGCTAGATTTAGGATAAAAATTGATAGCAGATAATTAGTCTCTATGGTACGACTTAAACATTCACTTCATTACTTGTCAAGGTGTGTACACTTGAGGAATAAGCAAACAACATTCTCAATTGGTTACAAAACCAGCCATACAAAAAATCAATCAGAGTCAGTAAATCAATTATATGAATGAATGGATTGTATCAACTTGGAGAATGGAAAAAATAAAAATCAATTAGAGCGAGAATGGCTACATGCCATGAAGGGCCAACTTTCAAAATTGGGCTATGTCGGAGATGACCTGCTACAGCAAGAGAATCGGCCTGGGCCATCCCATATGGCATACAGGATTCAGGGGAGCACAGGCCAGGTCGCCCCATTGCCACCCCTTGATAACTCTAAATTGGCTATAGCATCAACCATTCAACAAATCTTGAAGAATAGAAAGATGGAAAAATAGGGCGGAGGTAGAATGTTCAAAAATCATTTTTCCCCTCTTTTTTGTTGTATTTCAAAGAGAAGGAGATATATTTGTCTTTTAATTTTTAGAATGTAACATAATTGGTTCACAGTGTAGTTAACTGAATTATATGAACTGAATTGCTTGAACTAGACCAACATCTAGAGTTTGTATGTAAAAGATCATAAAAGTCATGACAAGAAATTAAAAAATTTCAGTAGTCATGACAAGATAATGTTTTAGATTGATACTTACTAGGTTCCCACGACTCTATTGGTGTTTGCTTCTTATATGTTGTCCCCAACAACTGTTGCCAAACCGAAGTCTGAAATTCTTGGGTTCATCTCTGCATCTAACAAAATGTTGCTTGTCTTCAAATCCCTATAGATAATCCTCAACCTTGAGTCTTGATGAAAATAAAGAATGCCTCTTGCTATCCCCAAGATGATTTCAAACCGTTTTCTCCAGTTCAGTAAAATGCATAATTTTTTATCTAGAATTTTTTTTGGCAAAAAAATTATTATTGATTGAAATGACAATTGCATAACAAAACATATAATTTTCATGGACTAACCAAATATAAAGACATCCAAACTTTTGTTGGGCATATATTCGTAGAGTAAGATCTTTTCGTTCCCCTCAATGCAGTAGCCCAGAAGTTGGACGAGGTTACGGCGTTGAAGCTTAGCGATCAATACAACTTCGTTTTGGAATTCATTAGAACCTTGTACGGAAAAGCTTGACAACCTTTTCACTGCAATTTCTTTCCCACCAGGTAACAATACCTGCAAGAGTTTGTGAATTAGAATTTAAACATAAGGGCAAGAACAGACAAACTTGATTGTAGGAAACAATTTTGGAGAAAATCATAGTAAAACCTTGTAAACAGGTCCAAATCCCCCTTGCCCTAGTTTGTGTACGTCGGAAAAGTTTTCTGTAGAAGCTAATATACTTTTCCAACTGTAGAAAGGAACACCGGTATCATTCTTGTTATCTTCCCCCAACTCCAACTCCAAGTATGATAGAGACGATCTCTCGACTGCATTTGCGGTTCCAAGTATATGCCTTTGACGTCTCCGGATCGTGACCTTAACAATGGCCAGGAGCATCGTAACAACAGCAGCAGAACCCACAACAACACCTATGACAACCCCTTTATTCTTTTTGTTGCTCGAAAACTGAGGAGCAGAGGCAGCAAGTCGAACGTATATAGTTCTCCCACTGCCATCATTTTCTGGAAGTTGTTGCAAATTCATTATTTCCCCTTTCCAAACTAAGCATGCATTGTTATCGTAAGAATAAGCTGTACAAGAGCAATTAATCAAACAAAAAAAATCACATTCTCCAGCACTACCTGCAATCACCGTTTGAGAATTTACAGGTAACTAACTTGAGGATTCTACAAAAACTTGTCTTTCCTCCCCGTAGAAGTACTACCATTCNTTCATTTGGGAGCATTTTTTTCCCCTTTGTTTTTGTTTTAGAGTACTATGTAGTTGGATTGACAAAAATATCCCTTGCAAAAGACCGGACGAGCAAGCAAGTTTCATCCAATGAGAATCTATGCGCTCAGTTTTGCAAATTTAAAGTATGTAAATTGAATCCATGGCAAATCCAACTATCCATTCGAGTTTTGCTTAGATCAATTTAATTTAGAACAAATGGAAAACCAAATCAAATAAACTTATAAATCTAAGAAACGATGTGTCATTTACATTTTTATTACTGTATATGGTTCAAGGAATTTTACTTACTGATTGATCAATAAAATATTTCAACAGTTTTTTTGAATTTTAAACTAATTTTTGCCTCAGTCAAGATTTGATTGAATAAAGTTGGATTAAATTCAGGATTTTTAAACTTTTATGATGGATTTACTAGTCCTTTGCTAACTGATCTTTTTTGTGCACTTATTAAGAATCGTGAGAAAAATAATTTAGTTTATGAAAATGACTAAAATTAAATTATATGACCAAAGTGTCCAGAAACAGCCTGTGCTATATTTACCTCCCTTCAAAATGTCCGTGGATTTATGAAGAAAAAATCGTGTTCTCATTTTTTTTTTTACAAAACTTTACTGTTGACATTCTACTTTTCTTTAGTGAAGAAGTAAATCATATACTTTTCTACTGCAACAAGTCAAATGAGTCTGCTGCAACTAATCAAGTCAAGAGATGCCGTGTGGAAATTAACGATCCATGAAGATTCTTGTGGTTTAGTGTTCGGAAATGACAGAGGAGATGGAGACTGAAGGAACAAGACAATTATAGAAGAAAACTGGAAATGATAGACGTGGAAAATGTTGTCTTTCAAACAATATTTATCTCCTCATTTTTTATTTTTTATTTTTTTTGGGATTGCTTATAGGATTTTTGACAAATAGCTATAAGAATATGACTAGCCTGTAAGTGTTATGCCCTAACTTCAATCGATTTTGAACATAAACACTTTCAAATATATAGTTGATGTGATTTATGATAGACCTATTATTTAATTAATTAATATTCAATTGAATTAAATAATGGAGTCTGTAAATTCAAATCTTAGTAATCTGTTAATGACAAGAAGTTATGATTGTGAGATAGAAGTTACATATGATAGAATCTTAAATCATCCGTGATCATAAGTAATAACGAAATACGGATATCGTTATTATGGATAGACCATCAAGTGTGACATTTCTTACTTGTGAAGTAAGTAGCTGATCTCACAAACTAAAGTGTGGTGACACTTGAATGAATACGTGGATGTTTTGTTATAGAACAAAACATTAGAGACCTGTCGAGAAATTTCACATGGATAACTATCTGAGTATTAGTGGTTAATCTCAATGTTCGGTAGTGAGATTGGTTCTTTGACTTGAGGCCATCATAATGCTATTTATGAAGATAGTCATGCTTTGACAGTATTGGATGTTGCTCTGTCAAAAGCCGCTAATACGGCATCTTCGAGTATGTCAAGAATCGTATGAAGGTTGTGAATGACCAATAGAGGATTCGTCACTCTTAGATTGTAAGAGATTATGATCTGCATTTCATTCAATTAAGTCGATAACGAAATCCTTTACCAAGGTGTACGCACAAGTCCAAAAAGAGTTTTCGACTTATATTGATTTAATAGTGGAGTGAAAGATATGATCAATAATCGAGATTGACACACTTTCATATCTCATAATTGATCAGATCATACTGACGAAAGGAATGTAGTTTCACAGTAAACGAACGAGTTTGATTTTGTCATACCACATGACATTTTTCGTCACATGTATTGCACTGACACATTACTAAATGTCAATTTAGGACGGCGAGTGTGAATTGGCGATAAATTAAAAGGGCATTTTAATTTATCAATTTCGGTTAGATCAAAATAATATTTCATGTCGTTGGTATCGTGATCGAGAACCTGATGGGTTGCACACAAAAGAATAATTGGAAAATTATGATTTGTCAAGTAATTAATTTAACAAGCGTTGAATAAATTAATTAATTGGGTTGCTTATTTATAGGCCCGAATTAATTAATTCACGGACCAAATTTAATTAATTCATGTCGTTGGTATCGTGATCGAGAACCTGATGGGTTGCACACAAAAGAATAATTGGAAAATTATGATTTGTCAATTAATTAATTTAACAAGCGTTAGATTAATTAATTCACGGACCAAATTTAATTAAATGTGTTAATTAAATATTGGATTGATCAGGCCAAGCCCGTTTGGGCCTATATAAATATGACTAGGGTTTTCAAAATCAGTAGAGAATTCATTCTTGCTAGCATAAAAAGAAAATCATAATCCTACTATCTTATTCTTTGTGTTGATCATTGTTGGAGGTTGGATAATTGGACAGCTGTGGGTGGCAGATCAAGGTTGTTGAAATGAAAGAATTACAAAAGGAGTTTATAGAATCAATAAAAGGTACGATTTTCTATCAAAATTCTATCTAAACACAGAGGGATCCTTGGTTAGAATCGAAATTTGTTTTTATTTTTTCCGCGCATGTTTAAATAAATCGCAATAATGATATCAGAGCCTACTTTATGTTTGTTAGGAATTGATTTACTTGTTAATGAAATCAAAAGTTGATTTACTCATATTTTTCTTGAATCTAGCAATTAAGAAAAATAACTTTCATATTCAAAATTTTGTTTTGAAAAAAAAAAGGATCTAAACGAACAGGCAACGCTGCCGGCGGCAAGATCTCAAGTGGCGACAAGGGAAGCAATGACGTGACTGCCACTGCAACAATAGCGCTCGTCACCACTGTCATCAGTGATAATGAGCGTCGCTGGGGCTTTTGTGTAGCACAACGATGTTGCTACAATAAGAAGCAGCGCGTCAGGCTGTAGCAACAGCTCGCCCGCTGCATTTAATTGTGGCGAGCGGCACATGGCTAGCAAATGGGTGGCACCGGCAATGGAGGAAGAAGTTATTTAGGGTTCTTTGGGTCTTCTGTGAAACAGTGAGGATGATTAGAGGCAAGGGCCTCTAATGCAAATTGATAATTTGTAGGCCCCTGCCTGCAATTTAATTTTAGGGTTAAGTTGTAATTTTCGAATAAGGATTTGTTTTGCAATTTGTGAAATTGGAAGGTCTTGCTCATAATTTTAAAGTAGGGGTCAAATGTAATTTTCTAAAGAAGGGCATCTTTACAATTTCAAAAATTGAAGGGCTTTGTTTGTAATTTTGAAACTTGGGTCAATTTGCAAATTTCAAAATTGTTTTGAATTTGAATTTTAAAATTGTGTTTTAATGGGTTTGACCTAAAATTTTAATTTTGACCCAAATTAAAATTTTTATATAAAATTGACGATTTTCAATATTCTCGTTAAAATATGATTTTAACTTAAATATTAAACTTTGACCCTAAATTGAATTTTATTTTATTTAGGAGTGTTATCCTAAATTAAAATATTAATTAAATTTAAATTAAAGTCCTAAAGTTGGACTTTAATTTAATACTTCATTAAAATTTGATTTTAATTGAATTGTCTTGGTCTTAAAATTTTCTTAAAATTAGAGTTAGACTCTAATATGTTATTTAATTAAAATTTGATTTTAATTAAATAAGTTCGCCCTAAATCTTGGAATTAGAGTTAGAATCTAATTCTGTTATTTATTTAAAATTTGATTTCAATTAAATTCAGCCACCTTAAGTTTTGAAGTTAAAGTTGGACTCTAATTTGATATTTAAATGAAATTTGATTTTAATTAAATAATCCCGCCATATAATTGTGGAATTAGAGTTAGATTGTAATTCGGTATTTAATTAAAATTTGATTTTAATTAAATATGCCTGCTAATTAAATTAATTGATTAATATAATTAATTAATTATTTAATTGTTCTGATCTATTTGTCTAAAAGAGTTAGACGACCTTAATTGCTAGAAACTCATAACATATTTGCATATAATATTAGATATTATATAGGAATACATTTATGAGATGAATGTATTATTTGTGGATGATTATAGATTCGACCATGTGGATATGTTGAATGGTTAATTTTATTTTGTCGTTTTTATGAGTCTGCGAGCTCTCAATTGTCTTGGGCCTGCAAGCCCGTTATTGTTGTTATTATTATAGGTATGCGAGCTCTTAATCATTTTGGACATGGGAGTCCATTATTATTATTGTTATGAGCCTGCGAGTCCAATTTTATTTGGGCATGCGTGCTAACTAGTATAGGATACATGTTGCAGCTGGACAAATTGAAGAAACAAGAAAAAGAGGAGACCATGGAGATGGTGCACTGATACTGATCAATGCAATACCCCCTATGAATTGGCCAATTAGTCTTCCTTATCGCTCGGGAAGACTAGCTAGTAAAAGTTCATAATTGTCCACACTATTATATTATGTTATATATATGTTTATTTGCATGGTAGATGTGTAATGAAAAAAATTTATGATTATTACGATGAAGCCTTTGAATGCAAAACCCCTCAATAAAATATTAAGTCAATTTATTATTTGCCTTTCATCATTATAGTGAAAAACTAGAGTCCTAAATCGTCTCGCTTGTTGAGTACACTCAAAGTTGGTCTATTAAAAATATGTTTGACACTATGAAATATTAGATATTTCTGAATGATGGGTCCGACTTAACTAAAATTTATGTTTTGTTGAACACGATCAATAAGATAAATTTTAAAGGCATGTTAAGCTAACACATAAGATGTGTAAAGACAAAGAGTTGTTAGTTTAATGATCTGAGAGTTGTATGGAGATACAATTGATAATAGTATCTACCCAAATGCTATATTAAGGCTTGTTGAGTACACTCAATATCTTAGTATAATAGATGGGATCCCAGTCCACTGAAAGTCAAGTATGGACTCCATAAATTTATGTAAAAGAGTCATAAATTTGAGTTAAACAGTAAGAGCATAATTAATTTAATAAAAGTTCATGTTAAATTAATTGATGCATTTTATA